GTGACGCCCTCCCTGACTGTGACATCCTCCCTGACTGTGACGTCCTCCCTGAATGTGACGCCCTCTGACTCTGACATCCTCCCTAACTGTAACGTCCTCCCTGACTGTGACGTCCTCCCTGTGACACCCTCACTGTGCCTCATGGCACAGTGAGGGGAGGAACAAAAGGTTTGGAGTGAGACAGATTTGACTTCAAATCCTAGTGTCACCATCTATTAAATACTAAATGAGTGATCTGGCTAAAAGGTATTTAACTGCTCTAAGCCCCCGTTTTCTCATCTGTACAACTGGAATAATAATATTTGTCTCAGAGTCGATGTGAAGATTCTACGTGGTGTGAAGGCCACATATGTAAAATGCCTACCCTAATGACTAACAGCGGAACTCTGGTGGCATAGTGGTTTATGCGCTGAGCAGATAACCGCCCTCCACTGCACAGAAGAAAGATGCGGCTTGCTCCTGCTGTAAATAGTCACAATCTTGGATCCCACGGGGGCAGTTGGAGGAGTGGGAATCAACTCAATGGCAGGGGACTGACTGACTGTGTGGCGGACAGATGCTGCTCAATAAACAGTGCTCCTTTCTCCTCCTTTACCTTTACCTTAGCGATGGGAACTTTGCAGTTCCTTATAACCTTGCTAGTGTGTCTAACACAATACTAGCACATGAAGGCATTCAATAAAAATGCATTGACTGAGACCTGAATGGCGCCCCAACTCCTCACTCCCACTCCATGAATGGAGATCCCTTTAAAAGCTTAAGTAAAATTTTAAAGACTTTTAAATGTTCTGAGAGGATAACTCTTCCAATAATTGACAACTAGGTAGAGTATCTTATGCAAAGACTCCACAGACATAACATGCATACGTTTCGCATATGGTTCTTGACCCAGAATCCAAGCGTTTGCCACATTCTGGTCTACTGCTTGCTTGCTTACTTACATTCCCTGCTACCTTGATGCCCCTGCTCATGGTCACATTGGCCCAGATCAGGCACCTGGTCCATGACCTGTGGTATTCTGAAGGAAGAAAGGCCTTTTACTTTCTCTTCCTCTAATCTCATCCCTCTGAGGCAGTAACAGAATCTTGATGGACAGGCCATCCCTTCTCTCCACCCTCCCAGCTTATTTCCATAAGCAGGCAGAGCCTAAAGCTCAGAGAGGCCCAGGAGATATCAGTGAGACAAGTTCCTGACAGGCTAGAGCACTTGGCCCGACAGCAACAGCTGCCCAAAGCCCGAGCTCACAGTACAAATCAAAGACCGTTCAAGGGGGCAGGCGTCTCAGTGAAGCAGCTCTCTCTATCTCCCCCACGACCTCACGTGAGTGCAGCCAGTGAGAAGAGACATTTAAGGCTCTTTGCCTCAAGGTAAAGATACTTTTCTTAACACCCAACTTTAATTCTTCTTGCTATCAGTTTCCTCTTATCACGGATTTCTCTCCAGGAAAGGAATCAATTGTAAACAAAGTAGCTTCTCCTATGCAATCTGAAGGCCCTTACTTCAGTGTTTGGTTACAGGTCCTGAGTAAGATGCTTATTTGTTCCAGATGATTCAAAAGACAAGATGACTTGATGGGATGGAGAAAGGCAGATGCTATGGTGGTAGTGGTGTTAGGTGTCATAGAATCAGTCCCAACTCATAGTGACCTGACGTACAGCAGACTAAAACACTGCCCGGTCCTGTGCCATCCTCACTAGTGTGATGCTA